ATCTTGAACGAGTTAATCTATTTACCTCACCTACCTGTTTTATGATGTATGAATAATGAGCCCAACTTCCTAATCCTGAGGTCATGATTGAAGCAAAATGTTTAGTTTGTGTTCAGCACTTTATAAATAGTGCCTCTCTTTTAAAAATTTTTTGATACTGCAGATTAAACCCAGGAGCACTTTACCACTGAGCTACATCCACAGCCCTTTTTTTATTTTAAGAAAGGTCTCACAGAGTTGCTGAGGCCAGCTTCAAACTTGTGATCCTCCTGCCTCAGCCTTCTGAATGGCTAGGATTACAGGCATGTGACTGTGCCTGACTATAGTACCTCTGATGATTAATATTAGTCTTTGTGCTTGATTTTTTTCCATCAGAGCTAATTCTAGTGTTACTGTTTATGATTGTTAACACAAATTGAATTTATCTATTTCTAGTCTATTCCTTCTCTGTAGTGACTTATAAAAATATATTTAACAGCAAAAGTACTAGAAAAGAGTTTGTTATTGTTGTTGTTTTGTTTTGTTTTTGGTACCAAGAATTGAACCAGGAGTATGCTTAACCATTGAGCCACATCCCCAGCACTTTTTATTTTTTATTTTGAGACAGGTTGCTTAGGGCCTCTACTGAGGCTGGCTTTGAACTTGCAATTCTCCTGCCTTAGAGATTCTGATTAAATCTTTTCCTTCTAGAATATAATAGTACTACTTTTTATCACTTTTAAAAGCTGACTTTCATAGTAGTATAAATGTTTATTTTGAAAAATCATAAGAAATTCAGGTATGTTCTAAATGAAGCTTAAAAGAAAGAGACTTGATGCTGTATACATTTTCTAATGTGGGAAATTTTTAAAATACAAATATCTTTCATTCCTGAAAAACAGCCAACTTTTTGAAAAGCCATTTAGATTAATTCCAATGATAGTGAGATCCGTCTCAGGGATTCAGTACTTGCTTCAGAATTCTTCATATATACAAAATTCTCTTAAAAGCTTTTAGGGAATTATGCTGGAAGAATAAATGAGATTTTAAATGAAAGGTTTTGCTTTGAAACTGTTTTTAGTGTGATTTACGTTTTAAGTCAAAATTCATTTTTATCTCTTATAAAAAATGTTACTGTTCTTTTTGGGTTCAAAATTAAAGCTTATTTTCCATATTCTGTTTGAACTATTTTAACATGGATTTTCTTTAAGAAAACTATTCTCTCCTTTTCTGTACAAAGTACCTTAGCCAGATGTTTTAGTCGGCTTTGTCACTGTTGTGACTAAAAGACCCATCCAGTACAGTGTAGAGGAGGAAAGTTTATTTGGGGGATCCTGGTTTCAGGGGTCTTAGTTCAAAGGCAGCTGGCTCCATTCCTCCCAGCTCCAGGTGAGGCAGAAGATCATCACAGAAGAGTATGGTGGAGGGAAGTGGCTCACATGATGATCAGAAAGCAGAAACTCCACTTGCCAGATACTAAATATATAGCCCAAAGCCACATACCCACCAAGACTTACATCCTCCAGCCACACCCTACTTGCTTTCAGTTACAATACAAGTTACCCTACTAGAGATTAATTTACTGATTAGATTAAGGTTTAGATAACCAGATCATTTCTCGTCTTGCATTGTCTCACACATGAGCTTTTGTGGACACTTACATCCAAACTATAATACCAAAGAAAGAAGGGCATAAATTATCATTACTACTAAAAATAATAGGCAAAGAATATAACCTATAATTCTCAAGAGAAATTGTAAGACTTTCCAAAAGTTTTGTTGTTTTTTCGGACAGAAGGGAGTTGAACCCAAGGACCCAGGGGCACCTAATTCCTGTGCCATATCCCCAGCTTTTTTTTGTTTTGTTTTTTTTTTTTTGTTTTATTTTTGTTGTTGAGGGTTGGGTCCCAGAGATTGAATTCAAGGACACTCGACCACTGAGCCACATCCCCAGCCCTGTTTTGTATTTTCTTTAGAGATAGGGTCTCACTGAGTTGCTAAGTTGCTGAGGCTGGTTTTCAACTCTCAATCCTTCTGCCTCGAGTCTCCTGGAGCCACTGGGATAACAGGTGGGATTACTATGTCCCGCAAGGATGTGATGAAATAGTCAATATCATATCCAATTAGTGGGAATGCAAAGACTCTTTTACAGAAAAATTTGACCTATGTGCACAGAGAAAATCATTTAACTTTTAACTTAGTACTTAGATTTGAACTTAAGAATTTGAACTTCGTATTCTATTTCTGTTATTTTTTCCCCCAAAATTCAGAAATCCAAAATACAGATAGTTTTATATTGGAAAATGTTTTTTCAGTTACCTTTATAATTATAAATTAGAAATGTCCAATGAATAGGCAGAGAATGAAATTATGATAAATCTGTCCAATGAAATAATATCTTGACCTTTCTATTGGCATAAAAAGTAAAGACTACTATGCATCGCTATTATGACAAGTTTTGGGGGTTTTGTTTGTTTTTTGTTGTTTGATACTGAGGATTGAACCCAGCAGTGCTTTACCCTGCTAAGCCACATCCCCAGCTCTTTTTATTTTTGAGACAAGGTTTCACTGTGTTGCTTATGGCTTTGCTAAATTGCTGAGGCTGGTCTTGAACATGAAATCCTTCTGCCTCAGCCTCTAGAATTGCTAGGATTACAGGTGTGCACCAACATGCCTAGTTTTGACAAATTCCTAAAAATAATCAAACCTGAATCTTATCAAGCCTCTACATTTAACTGTGCGTTTAAAACTGCTGTATTAAATGTCACCATATGGAAGTAGCAAACTCCAAAACCTAGGAAAGGACTAATTATTGATTCCTTCAACAAATGGTTAGAAAAACAATTTTAAAGAGATAGGGAAGTTCATTGATAAAAGATGTATTAACCAATTTGCATAGCTTTTCTTTTGCTTTTGAGTCAAAGAAACTGAAAATAATTGTGTGATCATTGGGCAAACTTGAAAACTATGTATCTGATGGTATTCTGGTTTGGATATGAGATGTCCCCCTAAAGTTCATGTGTGAGACAATGCAAGAATGTTCTGAGGTGAATTGATGAAATGATTGGACCTGAGAGAGTAACCTAATCAGCCCATCCTAATTTGGGACTGACTGGATATAACTATAGGTAGGTGGGGTGTGACTTAGGTCACAGGGAGTATGTCTTAGAAGAATGCATCTGCCTTTCAACTTCTTCCCTCCTGCCTGACCCCTCATGAACTGAGTGACTTTCCTCCCATCGGCCCTTCCACCATGATTGCTACCTCCCCTTGGTCCCAGAGCAGTAGAATTGCCCACCTTTGAACTTGCAATCCTCCTGCCTCTAAAACTGTGAACCTAAATCAACTTCCCCTCTAGGTTGTTCTTGTCCACATCCATGGTAGGGCTGATGCAGAATTCTAAATCAGAATTTCTGAGGTTTAACTATGATCAGGCCTTTGGACCTTATTGGGCGATGTCTACTCTAAAAAGATTAGACCAGTACACCCCCTAGGGCCAGGCAGATGCCAATCTCTGCTGAGTATCTTTAACTCACGGACCTCCTGAGAACTCCACTGGTAGGGTGGGGTAACCAACTCTTGATAGGTCTCACACATTCCACCACCCATAAATATGACCTTTCCCTCAAAAAATTCTCAGCCCCCTGTGTCTGGACCCTCTTTAGCTAGTCATATAAGCCACCAGATTCAAAGGAAAAGCCAGCTACATTAATGTGAATCCCCCTGGGAATAATATTCTCCGTGTCTGTTTCAATCCCACTCTCTAGGTACACCCTAGGCCACACGTAGGCACTAACTGGAGAGTAGGCAGTTTTACTATGATCTCCCAGGATCCTGCAGCAGCAAGCTACAAAAGGGGCTCTTTAAGATGGCCATGTGCCTCAGCTCTCCACTTGCCTTTTGAGAAACATGGAGCACTTTTCAAACACGAGATAGCTATTCAGCTTCTGGTTTAGCTAAGTTCAGACTGCTCTTCTGTTCTACAGGTTTTCCCATGCCAAATTTGTCTCCTACATTTCTCTCTCTGTGTTACCCCTCCCATCTGTGGTGACTTGGCACTGCTGCCATCTCTGGCTTGGTTCTGTTGTGCTTTTGTCTTCTGTTCAAAGTACCCGAATTTCTGAATCTCTATAATTCTCTTATCAGTATTGAATTTCAGTGAATTCACTGTCACCTACCTCACAAAGAAGCAGTACTTCTGCTGTTTGAATCCTGAGGATAGAACAACTAGAAAGTACACCACCATTCCTCTAATCCAACATCTTTATCTCTCCTTGGTTCTTTATTATTCAATAGTAACCCTAAAATCTGTTTTTCTAGTTCAATGAAATTTATTTTAGTATATTTATTGGCATAGCCTTAAGTTCACAGATTAACAAGCAGTAACTTTTTAATGCTGTCATATCTTCTTATCCAGGATCCTAGTATTTCTTAAATTTTGGTTTCTTTTGTTTCCTATGGTATTATTTATATATTTATTTGTTGCCACATTTCTTATAAAGTTTATTTCTGAATTTTTCTCTTTTGTTGATGGTATACTTCCACTCTATCTTCCGAGTATTATTTGTACAAATGAAGGCTAAAGTACTATACATATATTCATTTTATGCCCACTCATTCTTTAATTATGTTCGTAGTAGTTTTTAAATTATTAATCTTGGATTGGTAGCATATATAACATTTGTAGGTGATTCTTTTCTTTCTAATACCATTCATTTTTTTTTCTCTCCAATGATATTGATATTTTTATTCAGGAAAAAATATCATTTAAAGATACACATTTTAAACTAGTGCTTTCTCCTTTATTTAGCCCTATTCAAATTAAATTCAGTGTCCTCTTACCAAGTATTATTAGACTATTCAAAGCTATGCATATTTTGACCTCCTCAGTAAACTTTTAAAAATGTTTAAGGTTATTTATTTTTTTTAATGTTGCTAAAAATAAGATATTACATTGAAGATTTAGATTTGGAAATAATACTTAAAATGTGAAAAACTATTTCATTGCTTTTTTTCCTTAGGATCAAATGGCTATTGCATGTGGATCTCGAGCTCATTTGGAAAAAGAATCAATTGCACAGGTGAGAGTTTGCAGTAACTGGCATGGAATAGCAGATCCCCCAACTCCTTTTTACATGTAAATTTAACAAGAAATAGGCTCATATATTTAAACTCTTAAAAATGAGGTTCACTTCAACCTCATTTAAATTTTCATTAGCACATTTCTGAGTTGATTTTTTTTTAAGTATATAGGAAGGATATAGATTTCATTTTGACTTAGGAGATAAACAATTCTTTTGATTTTCTTTTTTTAAGATAAAGTATCCTCATTCAGTCATAAGTGTGACTTATGTGTTTTGTGGACCAGTCAACTTGCCTTTAGTTTTTCTATATCAGCATATTTGATACTTAAGTGAAATACAAGTAGAGCATCCTTAACCTGAAAACCCAAAATCTAAAACCTTGAACACTAACATGTTACCGTAGATGGAAAATTTCACAGATAAAACTTTGTTTCATATACAAAATTATTAAAAATTCTATGTAAAATTTGCCTTTAGACTATTATATAATGTATGTATGAAACAAATTAATTTCATGTTGGGGCTCAAGCCCATCCCCCAAAATATCTCACAATATAAGTGCAAATATTCTAAAATCTGGAAAAAACATGAAACAACTGGTCCTAAACTTTTTGAATAAGGGATCCTCAAACTATTTTGAGATTCTTTCAAAGTTTAAATATTTTCTTGTTTTAACTTCGTTTCTGTTAGAAAAGCACTTTGCCTTAAAATTTATCAAATTCCTGACTCTCCTTTTTAAAAAGATTTATCATTAAAGATGTTAAATTCTTTATTTTATAGATTATGCTAGAAAAGATAGAGCAACTTGAAGAGGGAAATATCTTATTAAGGAATTAATCTATGCAAAATTTTTGTTTTTTAGAGTTGATTTTTGTTGTTGGTGTGGAGTAGGGTGGGGTGGTGGTGCTAGGAATGGAACCCAGGGCCTTGCACTTTACCACTGAGCTATATTCCAGACCAGAATTATTCTATAAAAATTTTTAATTCTTAATCATTTTTTTCATGTTTGTAGGTTTCATGTTTCAAACCCAATGATTATTCATTATATTTTCAGTGGTTAATCTAGTATAATGGTCTGGTAGATTCGATAATAAAGCTGTATTAATCAATGCATGACAAAATTATCTGGAGAAAATTTTTTTAATGCATATAGGCCAGGACAGTCACACTGAATCAGACTATTGGGTTGGGACTAGGTGTCTGCATTTTTAACAGTTTTACAGATCACCTTTATGCACCTTGGGCTTGGAGAACCATTGGTATTAAAAGTTGACTCTTTTCAATGATATTCAAATAAGATATGAAGGAATTTTAATATTTTTTAAAATCTTAATCAAACATCTTAAGGATTATGCATAAGTATAGAAACCTAGACTCTGCTTTTTTGGAAATAAATATTTTAACACCCTCAGCATCTAGTCTAGTATTCTGTATACCTTATAAATTCTCACTGGTGTTTGAAAAAGTTTAATCATTTAAACTTAGAGAATATAACACTCCTAGAAATTTAAAACTAAAAGAGGATTTATAAGCTAAACTTTGTTTACTGATGCACAGAGGATAGAGAAAGGAGAAAGTTTTCCAAGATGTTCAACACATTATTTGTAGCCACAAAATACAGAAACTATAAAGCATTAAGTTCCCACAATAGAAAGCACAGTTGTATTTCTTACATGAAATATATAGGCAATAAATGCTGATGATAATGTAAATGATAACATGGCATGTTACTAAAGTATTAGTTTGTATGAAAAAAAGAATATAAATACAGTTTAATTATAAAAATAAAAATTATTTTTTCAAACAATTAATGAAAATAGACTTAATTTAATGGTTTTGTGATAATTTTTTTATTTTTTAAAAAATTATATTAATGGGAGGGGAAAAGGGATACCTTACTTAGTGAAGGAAAACATGCTGGAGAAATAGGAAGCAAGAGACAAATTATTTATTGTTGGTGGAAGTAGAAAGGAATTGTTATTTTGGTACTGTTTTTAATTATGTAAATTCTTTTTACTTAAAACTTCCAGTAGTTGAAAACAGTTTGAATTTTTCCAAGAAATAGTATTTAGATGAGACTGTACTGTGGTATAAATCTTCTTGAATCTGTCCCAGGATCTAGGTATTCATAATTTATCTTGCCTCCACCCATTCATTTCTCCATCTTTAAAGCATAATGATCAATTTAGTGGTTTTGGTCCCCAAAAATTGGTTACTGCTCTATAGAAAGAAAGGATAACCTGGCCCCTTCACTAGAGAGCAGCAGTTGTCCACTGAAGGTGCTGTTTATAACTGCTGTTCAGTAGGCTTCTGTCTAAGTCCAGATTATTCTCATAGAATTATCCTTGATCAGAGAAGGTCGTCCACCTCCAAGAAATAAGCTGTGCATCACAACATGTCTGCTTTTAAATAAACAAAACAAAAAGTTATTAACATCCAAACAAAGGCAGATATAAGGATTTTTATTTGTTGATGAATAAATTTACCCAAATCACATTTAAAATGATTTGGGAAGAAGAGTTTGTAGCTATTATTCTACCTTTAATTTTTATTTTTCTTTTGATTTCTATTTGTTCCTTTCCTAAGCATAAATGCTCTTTTGGAGGTTTAATCAGTCAACCAGTGTTTATTGGAAGTATTTTATATGGAATGCACTGAGCAAGCTGTTGTGAGGTTCCCAAAACATTTTAAGATGAGGTTTCTGCCCTATCTACTTAGAGAGGTAAGACATATTTACATCGAAACATAATGATTCTAGGTGATAAAAAGTGCTAGATAATTTTCTTAAGTTTGCTTTACATACCTTATAGATAAGTATTTTATTCTCCCTTCCTTTCCTGAAGGTAATTGTAGTCAGGAGAGTAAGGTAAGCCCTCAAGCTTTCTTCCTCTATAAAACCATTATTGACTTTGTGTGCCAAACACTTGACAGCTTTAACATAATCTTAATAATAACTTTGTGAGGTCTACATCATCAGCCCATTTTAGGAAACTGAGAGTTGAAATAACTGCTCAAGGTCACCCTGCTAATCAGTAGTAGAGCCAGAATTCAAACAGGAATGCCCAGTGTGTTACCTTTTCTACTATGTCATATTACTACTCTTTTTGATGATAATAGAAAAAGCCATGAGAATGAAGAGTAATACCGAAGATTATAATTATGAAAAGCAAAAAGGAGAAAGCAACTCGATTTTATAAGATAGTGTTTCCCATAGACCCTTAATAATTTGTTTATGCACATAGTAATATATCACTCCTTAGGTCCATTACCTTAACTATAGAACACTTTAAGAAATTGTCTTTTTTTTTTTAATCTAAATGAGTCTTAAATACAGTGATAATTCATAATCTTAATTTTTAAGATTTCCAATGTTGAATGAGTAAAGGAATATTATTTCCTGTTACTACCAATAGTAATCCCTGATAACAATAATGAATCCTTAGATGGATTAAAAACTACTTAAGGTTATATCCAGAGTATTAGAGAATTCAGACTGCATTAAAGAATACAGTCTGATTAGGCATCTGGCATACCTAATTAGAGAGACAGGGTTTTTGTTTCAAACTCCTTTGTAGTTTGTAACCTCTGTGATAACTCTGCTGTACTACTTCTGTCAGTATTCTCATTTGCTAGGTATCAAACCAAAGGTTCAAATCTTAGTGTTTTGTTTTTCCATTACATTCTAGGGCCTGCTTTGAAACCAAAATGTGTATGGGACAAAGAGGCATAAAATATGTAGGTAGATGAGATGTTCTCCTTACTTGTAACAGCTCCAAACCTGTTTCTCCTGGTAGGTAGAAACACTGGCCTCCCACAGGTTCTGTGATTTATCTCATCTGACTCTGTCTCCAGGGAATCTGTGACTGCTTCTCCAGTGTCTCTGCTCTGCTCTAGGCAGTAATTATCCTAACTGTTCCTTTAATATACTTTGTTGGTGAAGCTGATGGAACAATGATGTCCATATGTAAGACCTGCCCCGTCAATGAAATATTAAAATGCAGTTGTGTGCAGCCAGATGTTTACTACTTTATAGATGAATGGAAAAGTCATTTCTATTTTGTCTTTGTTTTCAGCGTTCTTACTTCCGCACTCTTCTCATGTATGGGTTCCACTTTCTGGTGTGGTTCCTTTGTGTCAAAGGAATCAGGGACACACAGTGTGGGTTCAAATTACTAACTCGGGAAGCAGCTTCACGGACGTTCTCATCTCTACACATTGAACGATGGTAGGTTTTTAACTAGAATGTATCTGGTAGATCTTATTACCCAACAATTATTCCAGATAAGAAAAGCAAGTCCTGTATTTTCATAATGAACATTCAGATTTAAACAAAATGTGCATTTACATTTATAAACTTAATCTGTGCCTTTATACCTTTACTCAAACCCAACATATGCTTTAGTTGTATGTTCACCTTAATTTTATACAGTATTAACTGAGAAGCCTAAAAACATCTTGTTTTTTAAGCTTTCTTTTCTTTATTCCTTTGAATTAAAAACATACACACACACACAGAAATACCGAGCAAAATAAAGTCTCCATTTCCACTTCTTCCCCTCCTTTTACAGGAGCTAATGTCTTTCTCCTAGGCCAGTCCTTCACCTTCTGCATCCTTTTCTACCTTCTCCAAAACCTAATCCTGTTCATTTCCTTTTCTCTTTTGTGTATTCAGCCTTTTCCTCTCAATCACATCTTTCCCAAAGCCCCCTACTCATGCCCTTCTAGCTCCGTACCACTACCATCCCTACTCTTCTTCCACAGCCAGCTTTTTCTTGAAAAACAGGTCTGTAGTTCACTGTTTCTATTTTCTCATTTCCTTCTCACTCTAATAATAACGCACTTTAATATGGATTTTTTTCTTATCCCTCTTACCTCAGTGACATTAAATCCAGTGTTCATGTTAAATGTTTTCATACCTAACCCATAATGGCATTTGATACTTCTGCTCCCTCTTTTAAAGTACACTATTCCCTCCAAATAGATCTACCCCAGACCTCGCTCAGCTCTCAACCCATATTCAGTAAGTGGCACTATTATACAGAACCTAGAAACCTTAGTGTCAGTCCTGACTTTCCCCCGGCCCCTGCATATATCCCACCAACGTGACCAAAGAATGTTGGTTTTACCTTTTGGGTTTTACCTTTTATGTTCCTCTCTTTCTCTCCATCTTCACCACCACCATCCAGGACACCATCCTTTCCCAGATGACTAGGTCGCAGCCAAACAGGCCTTTTCAGAACTTAAAAGGTGATCATGCATCTCTTTTGTTTAAAATCTTCCAATGGCTTCCCATTTCTGTGGAGGTGCTGCAGTCTGACCCCACCTGTGTCTCCATGCACACAAGCCTTCCTTCTCAACTTGTCCTCCACATCCTCCGCAGGCAGCCTGCCCTCACTCTCCACACTAGCTCAGGTTTCCCAATAATATGTTATTGCTACACCATGAACTCTGTTCCTGTCACCCATTACATCTATAGTTCTTTCTTAATGCTTCTTTTTCTCTGTTAAAGCATGAGCTCCACAACACCAAAAATCCCATTTTATTTTGCTTACTAGTTTATTCCACCATTGAAAGAGTATCTGGTACATAATAGGTGCCCAGTAAATATTGTTTGAAAAATTAGTGATTTTGTCATGAGTTCTGGTGGGTATCTTTATAATTATTCCAGTATATGTCCATTTTTATAGTCTCTACCAGTTTTCTATGTTTCCAAAGACATATGTCATATAATCCCCCCAAAAGTATTTTTATTTATTTATTTGTTTGTTTGCTTATTTTTGTACTGGGGATCAAACTTGGGAGCACTTTACCACTGAGTTACATCCCCAGTCCTTTTTTTAATTTTTGAGATAGTATTTCACTGAGTTGCCTAGGATCTCACTAAGTTCTTGAGCAGACCTTAAACTTGCAATCCTACTGCCATTCTTATAATCCCCAAATAATTATTTTAAAGAAATTAGTTTTAGAATTAAAATTATTTAGACATGTTTTAAAATCTTTTTCCTAGATTAAAAAATTTTAAGTAATATAAATTTGATTTTCAAATTCAATGTTTTTATTATATTGAAAGTATAAATTAAACTGATAGTTGATGGGACTCCATAATCTGAAAGTCTAACTTAAGAAGCAATTCTGGAGTAATGTCCTCCATCTGCACTAGACAGCTGCCAAGTGCAGAATTAGGGTCAAAGAACTTGGTTCCTTGTAGTTGAAAGAAAGGATTTAGAAATGAAGGACCCTGTTTTTCACTGTTGAGGGTCTTTTAGTTTTCTTGAAATATAAACGATTAGAGTTAATTACCTAAAAATCATGAAGTTTCCTGTCAGGATTATTCTAGGTGGCATTATCTAATAGAAATACATGAGATACAGATGCAAGCAATATATTAAAATATATTAGAGCTATAGTCCTGTAGCCACATTAAAAGTAAAAAGAAACATATGAAGTAAGTTTTAATAATATATTTTAACATAATATATCCAAAATATTGTCATTTCAGCATGCAATCATTGTGAAAAAAAAAATGTTGAGGTATCTTTTATTCCCTTATGTACTGTATCTTCAAACTTATAGCAATCTCAGATCAGACCAGCCACATTTCAGGTACTCTGTAGTTTCGTATAACTACTGGACACTCTACTGGACAGCAAGTTTCTGGGGTTTTGTTTTTGTTTTTTGTAAGTTGAAAACCCAGTATCGGATTTTTTTCCTTTTGAAAGTTATGTTTATGTGCATGCCTTCTTAATTATTTGTTTTGGATTTCATTAACATTGTATTGACCCCACTGAAAATTTTAGACTCACATTTTTCTTTATGGTCTAGCTATGTTTATTTTGCATCTGTAAAGGAGAACCACCAAATATTTTATCAACTTAGCAGCATACCCTTCCCCACAGTTAGTAGTTTGTCAGTGCTTGTTATTTAAACACCTCTACATTTAAACGTTCTGCATATGGATATCCAGTTTTCCCAGCACTGCTTATGGAAAGAGGCATGTTCATGAACATGAAAAAAACATTCTTCAATCATGGCTTTGACAGTCTCTTCTCTTTGTTTTCTCTATCCTCTCTTACAGTAGAACGTCTTTGCTGGTCCTATAATTTCATCTTTTCCCTTTTATATTTTAGTTCTTTTGAGGAGATTCTAACAATTTTATTATCCAGCTCTCCTTTTGAGTAACTGTTTCTGCTTTAATTTTTTTTTTAACAGTACTAGGGATTGAACCCAGAGTCTTGTGTTGCATCCCCAGCCCTAAAACATCTATTCTTGTTTTATGACTACAGTATCTTCTCTAGCTTACTGAATGTCTTATTTAAAACTTCAGTGTTTTGTTTGTTTGCTGCATTGTTCTGTTGCCTTCACTTTTTTTTTTCATTTCCTCATTTATCATTAAAATCTTTCCTCTAATGCCTTTATTATGATAGTAAAACTTTCATAGGTATCTGTGCACATATGCAGAGCCCCTAATTCACTGATAGATTTCACTACAAGTTAAACTAGTAAAGCCACATGAAAGTCCCACCTGTTACTATCCTTTGGACTGAGCCCTTTTCCCTAAAGTGGGATCCTTCAGTCTCCTGCCTAGGAGTCATGAATCAGGCTGTCAGTATTCATAGAACCAAGTAGGGGAAAGAATGAATGGGGAGAGAGAGAGAGTCCTGTTGCAACTGTGCCTATATCCCCTCCCCCAGACATTTTTAAGGCCTCTGATCCCTGAGCCTGGGGAGAGGGAGGGTTCTGGTGCGCATTAGCCTGCTTCTAGGCTTCTCCACTGCTATTATCCATTTCCCTAGTTACCACATAACCTGTCCAGCTGTTTTACAACTTCCAAATTTTTTACTATCATGTGTGTTTCTTCCATTCTTCTTGCTTTAACTTAGTGACATTTCAGGATCTGCAGTGTTTAACAGGGTCTCAGTATACTCTTACTTCTTTAAGATGTATCTGTTAGTGAGGTAACAGGTATACCAGAAGCCAAGTAACAAAAAGAAACATGGTAGTTCTGCCAAATCCACATTTGCAAAAACAAATTAAGATGCCTTTGATGGAGAATAATCTTACATTGCTTCTGGTAGTACAAGGCTCTGTCCAGAAGTGCATGGTATTTTAGTTAAAATTTGGGTCACATGTAACATAGTAATATGAACTGCAATTTTTGGTTTTGTTTTTTTGTCATGAATATATTTACTTTATTCACATTCTAAATTGTTTAAAGAGGGAAAAGATAGGTTTTAAAAAACATTTCAGTCTAGGATTTTGTTTTTTTTTTTAAATACAACATGATTTCAACTCATCAATGCTTATTTCCCCATCTACTTTTCATTCTTCATTTTTTGTGTTGTTTTGTATCTTTAATATACTACCATTAGAAAAATATTTAATAATGTTATTCAGATTATTGAATATCATTAGAACTGAGTCCAGTAGCTTTAGAAAGGTAAGGTTTAAGCACCAGACTTAATATTAAAACTATTTCCTTCTTTCATAAAAGTACCATAATTTTGGTAACAGGTTAACAAAAGTTTTACATAGTCCATTTAAAGACACTTTTTATCATCTTAATTAAATATTTTATTTGGATAAGAAAAACTCTTTTAAAAGGTAGTTTTCATATTGAGTTAGCCACACACTTGGAGCCCACATGGCCATTTTCACTTCTGATTGTTTCTGAGTTGTGATAGAGGTACAGCATTTTTTTTATTTGACTGTTAAATAATGACATTAAATCTCTTGTTTGCTTTGAAGCTTCTGAACCACTCAGTGTTCAATTTTTGACCTTCTGTGAATCTGAGCTCAGTTTTACAATGTAAGCTTTATATCTGCCTTGTAAGCTTCTTCAGAACCTGCCAAGGTAGAGATTAAATTACTCATCTTTTGTCGATATATTTTCTATTTCAGGGCATTTGATGTAGAACTTCTCTATATAGCACAGTTCTTTAAAATTCCAATAGCAGAAATTGCTGTCAACTGGACTGAAATTGAAGGTGAGTTTATTGTTTATTTGCAGCTGCTGAGCTTTGTCAGATGAAAGGAGACATCAAATAGTACAACTGACCAGTAAAGTTCAGCTGGGTTTAAGGTTCTCCCCTCTTCTCAAATCAGGGACTTCTCAGCTGTCAGAGAGGCAGTTCCATGAGAGTGTTGCTCGCTCATCCCCTCCTTCAGGCTTGTTCCTTCTGTATGTTTTCAGTATCTTCTTGTGGTCTTCAGCAAGGTTCTTACTCTGGTGAAGAAAGTTTAATAAAACCTCCAGTAGGGCTGGAATTGTGGCTCAGAGGGAGAGTACTCACCTCGCATGCATGAGGCACTGGGTTCCATCCTCAGCACCACATAAAAATAAAATAAAGATATTGTGTCCACCTATAACTAAAAATGTTTAAAAACAAACAAACAAACAAAAAAACCCTCCAGTAGAAAAGGTCATAGTAATGTGACATTAGAAGTAAGGCTGAGGGTTGGGATTGTGACTCAGCAGTAGAGCGCTCACCTAGCACAGGGGGGACCTGAGTTCTATTCTCGGCACCACATAAAAATAAAGGCATTGTGTTGTGTCCATCTACAAAAAAGATTCATATTCATTCTCTCTCTCTCTCTCTCTCTCTCTCTCTCTCTCT